AAAAGTATACGAGTACAAGGAATTTTTATTTAAAATATTAGTAGATAATACTGTATCGAAGAAGATTAATATGTTAAAAGATATTTTATATTAAGAACATAGAACTTCGGGATTACGAATAAAGAATTGAATGTTACACAATTAATATAAATAAAACATTAAAAATATTAGAACAATATTAAAATTATGGAATATAAGGTTAAGATCCCTCATATGTCGTCGAAGTCCGATGTTGTGAGATAGGTCATGTCAATCAACGTTAAGCCTCTCGCAATGTGGGAGTTATTTCGCCAGGAGTTGTGCTGTAATAAATCTTATGTCTGTTACGTCGTGCTAATATTTCGTATATGCAATATATCGTCGTATATAAGTCGTAATATATTGTTTACTATCACAAATATGTATGTGCGTTCCTTCTGTAATGGACGTTGCCTGCGTCGTGGCTTGGTTCAACGTGGACGGATAACCTTACTTAATCACATATAATCACATTTATTTTTAGCGTAACTGCTACTATTGCTGCATATTGGCCCGTGTTTACAAGTCTTTTCTGTGTCTGTATATATGATAAATTATTGGTTAAACTTCTGTGTGACTTGTAATTTAGCTAAAGCTGTTATCGTTAGACTTGCCTTGGTTCGTTGTTAAAATTTATTGAACATGTTTCTTAAGTTTCGACTTTACTGATGTTATCAGGCCGCGCCATAGCTCAAGCGGTTAGTCGCTGGCTTCCCACTGCGGCGGCCCGGGTTCGTTCCAGGGTCTGGTCAAGTGGGATTTGTGGTGGACAAAGTGACGTTGGGGCGGGTTTTCTCCGAGTACTTCGGTTTCCCCTACAAATCTTCATTCCACCAAATTCTCCATCATCATAATCACCCGGGGCAGGCTACAGTAGGCCAATCAGTGGCCGCCGTGCCGAGTGGACCCAGTTGGACTAGTCGTGATACAATTGTCAGTGTTGAACATTGCGCCAATTTTCGCGCTATGTTTTTATATTAAACAGTTTTTGCGTTTTCCACTTGTGTGTATTTTTCGATGCGTGTTTGTCCGTTGTTTTTTCTACTGCTGTCCGTGTAGATGCTTGTATAATCCTTGCGCTATCTCTTGTATGTGTTCTAATCAGTCGCTGTACTTAAGTTGTGGTGTGTGTAATGCCTTTGTTTCTACAGCTCATGTAGCAAATTCTGGTTGGAGGAATCTGCTACTGATTAGAAACCCTAGATGAGACATTGTATGAATCATATAAGAATCTGTACTATGAAGGGTATGTATCAGCAAGTCATGGTGTATTTTAAGAATGAAGGACACAGTTATTGTTGTGTTACATTATTCAGTTCTTGTTCAAAATTCCAGACGGCGTCTCACCTAATGCGTAGAATCAGTCATAGCTACTACACGTACATTGAGATGGACCAAATATGGAAGTCTAATATTTCTGAATTTCGGTTATCCTGATAGGTGCCGTTCTTGTTTCCGTTAGTCCTTGAAGACAAATTCCTAAATAACAACTTAAACTACGGCCCCTTTCATCAAAATTATTCCAAATCCAGAAATAATAATCGCCATTTTCTTCGTTTGACACTACACGAAACTTCGCTACGCCCTCTGTGGGATTCGAAGAGGGTATTTTTCAAATTACTCGTAAACATAGATGCGTAAGAATAATACAACTCATTCTGTGAAAATCTCCCAAAACAATTGGTGGAACATCACGTGGAAATAAATTAAATATATGTGTCTGATTATGCTTACATTTTTGGAAAGTTTCGATGTAACGTTGGGCGCGGAGCCATCCCTAGGGCGACGGAACCCAAGACAAATAAGAGTATGTGGGAACATAATATTTTATAAACAGACAAATGGCAACGAATTATAGATTCAATATTCATGGTGCCTTCCTGCATAAATGTAATTTTATTCATACGAAGTATGAAATTACTATTATGTTAATATAGTCTTAAAAGCAGCTTACCCAACTTGACCATGTTAAGTATACGAAATCAACCTTCCTCAGTGTCTTTCTCGCAAAATTTTCCGGAGAATCCTTGAACGTTGTAATGATTTCTTCTCTGTTTTTTTTTCCTGCTGCATGCCTACAGCAACATAACTCCCTGTCGATTCACAGTTTCCCAGTCGCACTGACAGTAGAAATCCAAAGGGTCCACAGCATCTCCTAATAATTTTCAGAGTTTGCACTTAACTGCCTTCCGTTGTCACAAACCCAGTGCCTTGAACTGCAATGGATCAAGCTCTTAGTCACTGTCAGTACTGAGCCTTTCACAAACAACTCCATGCATTAATTTAGGCGCTAAATAAAATAAATTAACAAACAAAATCGAAAAGAATGTATTCCATCAACAAATAATCTGTAGGTTAGTTAGTTAGTTAGTTATTGGAGAGGGTGGGTTTCCCATGCACTTAGACCTGTCTTGGTCCATTGTGCTTCCCTCTATGATTTCTACCAGTCTCTATATCCTACCGGTACTGGTGCTTACCATCAGTCCCGCCCAGCCGGCGAGACCGGCTCTACTAGCTGAGTGGTATCTATAATGCTTCCCCCATCTACCAGAGGTATTAGAGACTACTGTTGGGCGGGAAACGTCCGTAATTTTGCTCAGTGGCCTCCTTTGGAGACATGATGTTCTTTTACGTGCCGTAAAGCAACGACACGAGACCTACGGCTTAAAGTCCCTCCCGGAGGACTTGTTCCCTGAATTTTTCCGCCCTTAAAAATTCGACGACCTCCGCCGGGTATTTGAACCCGCGTACTACGAGTCATGAGGTGGGAACGTTACCTCTAGACTACGGAGGCCGCTTTAATCTGTAGGTAATTAAAACGTAAATTATAATTAAACTTGGAGTAATCTGTGATCTAGTGTTCAGAGTTCCTGGCTACAGATCCAGAGGTCCCGGGTTCCATTCCCGGCTCTACCAGATTTTCTGAGAAGTAGTGGGTTTGGAACGGTGTCCACTCAGTTTCGTGAGAATAATTTAGGAGCTACTGGAATAGAAAAGTAGCGGTTCCTGTCTAGAAAGCCGAAATTAACGGCTGTGGGGATTCGTTGTGCTTATCACGCGAAACCCTCTATCCGCTAAAGTTGACACTAACTTCACAGACAGGCGGCGGTCGCTCGATCGGTATAGTTCGTTTGCGGACTAAAGCCACGGAGTTTGTTTTGTTTGTTTTTGTAATTGTATAGGGTGTTTTATAATGTAGAACGAGTCCATTGATAAGAGATTGGTAGCATTCATCTGTTTATTCCTTTTTCTTTGTCTTCGTTTTTCTACTACTCGCAGCAGTCGCATTTCGGTTGCTTTATCGGCAACAATGTTAAGCCTTTCTAACTGGTACACAGTGCCGAGCATGCCTTGTCAACTTACTTACTTACTCATCGAGCTGAGCCCTTCTTGAGGAGAAGCCAATTGTGCAGCTACTCAAGAATTTCCCAGCATTTTATGGAACCCGAAAGTTCATTACCGTGTTCACAAGAGTCCTCCACTGGTCCCTATCCTGAGCCAGATCAATCCAATCAATACCATCCCATCCTATCTCTCTCAGATCCATTTTAATATTGTCCACCCACCTGCGCCTTGGTCTTCCCAGTGGTCTCTTTCCTTCCGGCTTTCCCACCACTATCCTATACGCATTCCTCGTCTCCCTTATTCGTGTTACATGCCCCGCCCACCTCATCCTCCTTGACTCGATCATTCTAATTATACTTGGAGAAGAGTACAATTTATGAAGCTCCTCAGTATGCAGTTTTCTCCACGCTTGATGTAATTAAAATTAATAAGAATAATGAACATCGACGGAAACACAGACAGTTGGCGTAGNTTGATGTAATTAAAATTTATAAGAAACACAGACAGTTGGCGTAGTAGACATTTCAATTACGTTAGGAATTTGAACTCGAACTCCTAACTCACATTTCTGCTACCCTCTGAACTATGACAATGCTCAAAAAGAACTGCATATTTTTTAACGCCGATGCGCCTGGGCCCCAAAGCGCGGGGTCCTGGACTCGCCTTACACCGAGAATGACAGCGACAATTTTTTGGTTCAGTTCCGATTTTCAGGAATATCGCTTATTTAATAATAATTATTACTCTTCTTATAGTTAATATTATTATACCATTATAAGAAGCAGAGTGGTAGTGTGAAGAGACGGAGAAGTACAACTTCTCTTAACTTCACAGTTGACACCACTTGATCAAACAGTCAATAGAATTATAGACTTCACGGTGACGTCAGAAAGCCGCATTCAGCGTATCTTTATCCCTTCCTCTTAGGTTTCACAAATTCATTAATGTCTGTAATGCAAATATAAAGCGTTCCTATGTTGAATTAAGCACCACTGCATATAGATGTAGGAGTGAGAATGTAGGTATAGCTCCACACATCCTTGTCGTGGGAACAGATTGAGGTGCGCGGTCAGATTCACACCGCATCTGTTTTGCGTTTAGGGGAAGGGACCTCAGGGTCCCTTGGCTGTGATTCCCAGGGCTGGTCTGGATGCTGTGGTGAAGAAACTCCTGTGCCGGTAATGAAACACCGATACCTCATTCGTCTGACCCATAACTTAACCATTACAAAAAAGAAAACTCCGTGGCCTGTAGTCCGCACGCGAACTATACCAACCGAGCGACCGCCGCTTGTCGGCGAAGTTAGTTATAACTTTTGCGGATATAGAGTGTTACGTGGTCAAGGCAACGAATCCTCACTGCCATTAATTTCGGGTTTCTAGACCGTAGCCGCTATTTCCTTAAAGTAGCTCCTCAATTATCCTCACGAGGCTCAGTGGACCCATTTCCCGACCCACTGCTTCTCAGAAAATTTGGTAGCGCCGGGAATCGAACCCGGGACCTCTGGATCTGTAACCAGGAACTCTGACCACTAGACCACAGAGGCGGTCATTACACTTTTCAAAACTGTGTACGATACAGTAAAACCTCAGGTGATCCTAAGATGATACATGCAGGTACTTGGCTATGATACTAACCTGAGAAACGCGCAGTAGTTCGAAATGCAGCGTCTGTCACTGTTGTGGTCAGGATGTTTACTGCACGTGTCCCGGTATTCTTCTTGATGAACTCACCACCTTTTCAATTGCCTTCGAAGTGAACTCACATTTAAAAACTAATTTTAGATACCGTCACTAAAGTCTCTTCTCAGACGATGATGCTGTAAGCAAACCGCCTCAATGTATTTACATTTGACTAGAATGCAAATTGCCTCTTTCAAAACTATTATAAAAGTTTTGTCACCTTATATCTCTCATATTTTATTAATTTATGTACTTGTCACTTTGTAGTTGTTATATTTTAATCGAATATAATCTCAATTTCTTTCATTTAATCTGAAATTATTTATAAGAATATATATTATAAAACGTAAATAATAATTCATAAACTTTGCACTTGAGTCCATAGAGAACATGTAGGAATGTTCTTAATTATGTGAGCTTAATGTGTTATCGGTAAGGTAAAATTGGCACATTATATTCGTTTCAACTTTTAAAAACTCAACAAATCCAATATAATTCATCGTACTTTCAAAACTGAAAACACCTAACCAAACTTACACGATTTACTATGGTGATCCCAACATAAAACATCCGCTATGCCCAAAACGAACCCTCTCGAGTCATGAAAAACACGCTACATACGAATATTTCACTGTCGTCTTCACCACTTAGCAACACATCAGCTGATCCGTGTGTTAGTTCACTGCAATTCTTAGACACGTTCACTTTTTTACGTTTTAGTATTGTTTTGAAGTGGCCGTATATAAAACGTGACGTATTTCACCAGGCACGGAGGCCCACTCCAACCCAACCGCGTGCCGGAAAGTGCGACACACCACTGAGGCAATACTTGGCATGAAGAGTTTCTGCACTGTCACTGAAGGCTACTGCAGCCTGAGAATATCTCGTAACTTTGGATACGTTATCCATTATCTCTCTACCGTCTCTCAGTTGTTCTCCCACAAATCTCTACTTCTCCTCTCCACCACACTTTCTACCGTAATCATTACTGCTACACAACTCTTTCACAATACAGACCTTTTTTTTTCGTTGTAACTGCATATGCCAAGTTCTTTTTAGTTAAGTTTTCGTTCTCATGTAATTAACACTTCAATTGTAGAGTACCTTTTTGCGTAAGATTTCGTGATTTAACAGTCAGCAAAGTTGCTTTTTACGAGCTTGAGAACTAGGATTTTATTTAAAACGATTTTACTCCTCAAAACAGCATCTGTAACGGGTTTGGGACCCACTCAGCTTCCTATCAAATGGATACCAGAGGGTCGTCCTCCCAAGGAGAAAGGGGGTGGGGAGGGGGGGAGCGTGACTCGAACGTGAAGATGTTCTCGTATCTCGATCTAGTGAAGTTAAGGTACGTGTAGATTTTCCCGCAACCTCCCCAGTGCCTCCTCATGGTGCAATCCTGAAGCCCACGGACACCTTGACCTTCAGCGATGTACCATTCAGAAACAGAGTTCCTCTGTTAGCTCACGCGGACCACTTCTTTCCATATCAAGTATCTCATGTTGTTTGCATGGGAAATTACATTTTTCGTGGAAAGAGGAAGATCTCGTTGGGAGACGCAATATAAAATCAGATGTGAAATGATGCAGAATGGGGGGCTAGACGCTTCTGACTTGGATTCGGAAGTACTCGGTTCGAACTTCAACCGGGACACTGAAAATCCTCACAGACTTTTCGTAGGTTTATTCTGGTTTCCCTGTTCTACTGGGACAGTACTTGAAATTAGGCCACGACCGCTTCCTTCAACATATTTTCCATTCATTTCTCTCTTAACATCCTACGATTCGGCGCCATGTTGTCTCAGCTACAGACAGCGCCGTTAAATAAACAAGTAAATGAATACATAAACACAGGACATGAGGTGGGGCGGGATGCGGCGGGATGCCATCCCGGTTCTTTTCTAAATGGCTTAAAAGCATCCCGTTACTTCTTTGGCAGTAAATGCCTATGAATTAAATGTCTATGAATTAAAATGTGGAAAACCATCCCGGTTCTATTTTCATTCCACCTCAAGCACTGTATAAACATGTTACAAAATGAAAGGCCCAGATGTAACGGAGAGCTCAGAATTATTTTTAAAATTTAAAGTTGTACAATTGTGTATTGTACATCTTCTTTAGGACTTTCTGGAATGGAAGCTATACGAAATCAAAGTTAATAAATTGATAAACATATTTCATATGTAAGTTTCTTGCTTCTTAATATATTGTAGGGCTACAGGCCCAACTTTGCTGTACATGCTCAAGCCGTAACCCTTCTGACTTATACTCGTGAGATGTCTGGTTCGAATTTCGTCTGGGATACCGAATATCTTAAATGAGGTATTTAGCCTATTTTCTCAGTCCTTCCAAGCAAATTACAGGATATATCCTTAAATTAGCCACGAAATTTCCACTTCATTATGCCTATTGCAATCATTCAATCATTCGAAGCTATAATCTGTAAATTGAGTTACTGACGTCATTAAATGAATTACAAATATAATAAAATAGGAATTTAACTTTCCGAACTTATTCCCCTAAATTTCTGCTAGAATGACAATTTCGTGCGTGACTGTGGGAGCCATAATATTTCTGCTATACCTCCCTCGTGTTCTGTTCCGATTGCATGATAGCTCGAAACATGTAAACGAAAGGAAACGTATATTTAGGCAGATTACGCATCCTATAATTTACGCTTGAATGACGTTGTGCTCCATACTCTGCAGTTTCGCAATGCATGACAGAGACCAGTTCAGTAGGCATGTTCAGAAAACAAATAAAAAAGTTCACGTGTCTTTCAATGTGATAGATAAATGAACTGAAAGCAAGTGAACTCCGAACTGCGGAACCTGATTCCTTACCTGGGAGGGATAGCTAACAATGTTTTGCTTAGTGGGGGGTGTAGTCTAGTTGGGTCCACTTGGCACGGCGGCCACTGATTGGCCTATTGTACCTGCCCCGGGTGATTATGATGATGCAGAATTTGGTGGAATAAAGACTGGCAGGTGAAACCGAAGTACTCGGAGAAAACGTACCCCAGCGCCACTTTGTCCACCACAAATCCCACTTGATCCGACCCGGGTTTGAACCCGGGCCGCCGCGGTAGGAGTCCAGCGACTAACCGCTTGAGCTGTGGCGCGGCTTAACTAGCAATGTTAATCGATATGGAATTCGATATCGCTATCGAAGACATTCATATCGATTTCGAATCGATTTATCGCTTTAGAACTTTTAAAATGGCTGAAGTACCTAATTCAATCTTAAGGTGCGTTCACATTACTCGTGCTCGTACTCGTCAGACTTGTGCTCGTCGGGAGACTCGTCTGGCTTTTACTTGTGCTCGTAAATCTTCGTCCACACTACTTCGGTTGCTAGCCAGGCTTCGGCGCGTGAGGATCCGTATATTTACTCGTAGTGTGTATGGGCAGTAGTCGTATTTTAATTTATTGGCTATAGTTTTTAAATTAAAAATTTGCTTGTCTCGTGGCTTGTCATATCGTCCACATTACTCGCGAGCATAGCGAGTCACACGAGCACGAGCACGAGGGACGCGCCTTTAGACTTCAAGTACTGCCATGTTCTTGCATTTTGCAACTGTTATGGCCGGGTATAAATGGCTTTCTTCCTAAGAATCAAGTGAAACGACTCCCATTCTACATCGAACCAATGCACAGGTAGAACACATCGCAGGCAAAAACGTATACGTCATATCTTATGATCATATAATGACTCAGCTCATATCGGAAATATACACACCCCATACCTCACACATTAACAGCCTATACAGTATTGAAAATTGTCTCTGGGCTCCACGACCTGTCTCTACTTCTAAGAGCAAAAGATTTACAAATGACATAACATGCCCAGTACTACACTGTAGCATCGGAACCTAGGAATTAACTTGGCATACATATTCTTAAACTCTCACACTTAATAATTTTAATTTCGTATATATGGCAAATTTTCTGTTATTATATAATATGACACGTTGCACTTGTGTGGATCCATATCGGTAGTTCAGTGACTAAATGTGTTCATATATTAACTGCCTGATGATGGTCTTGTACGACCGAAACATGTAGCAGGAATAAAAGGTCTAACTGTAAAACATTAAAAGCGAGTATAGTTGTGTGACGGTTAACCTGGACATACTCTGAGGTCTAGTGGTCAGAGTTCCTGGCTACAGATCCAGAGGTCCGTGTTCGATTCCGGTCGCTACCAGATCTTCTGAGAAGTAGTGGTTCTGGAACGGGGTCCACTCAGCCTCGTGAGGATAACTGAGGAGCTATTTCAAGCAAATAGGTGCTCCTGACTAGAAAACCGAAATTAATGGCCGTGGGGATTTGTTGCGCTGACTACGCGACACCCTCTATCCGCTAAAATTGGCACTAACTTCGCCGACAAGCGGTCGGTATAGTTCGCTTGCGGACTTAAACCACGGAGTTTGTTTGGTTTTAATTGTTTCTTGCATCCTGTTGTGTATTTAATCAATATTAGAGTCAATTTTACCGACCACAAAACATATTTTTATTATTATTACACTACATGTTCCGACCTCAAGAGGTCATCCTCAGGTGCACGAACACAGCTGTATAAATACTTGACGCAGTGATGAACGTAAGTAGGAAGTGACTGAATACAAGTGAAAGTGAAAGCGAAACTAGTGACCTGAATTNAATATTGTTTTGTTTTGTTGACGGTTAACCTAATTCATATATATAAATGCCTCTCAGACGTTTCTCTAAGGAACGAGTTCCAACTCACTGCCAAAGACAAAAATCGGTCTAGCCTTGTGGCAACGTTCTTGACTCTTATTCAGGAGGTGGTCAGCCACAACATCTGGAAGCGTTGTTTACCTCAGCCTCTCCAAGCATATGCAGGAAGTTTGCCTCGATTAGGCCACCATCTCTTCAAAATTCTTTCCAAATTACCATTTGTCACCATTCATTCGAAGCTATGTGATGTAGAAAAGCTGCTGAATGCTTCGTTAAGTAACACAAATAAATAAATAAGCACGAGAAATTTTATAGGACCATGAAATTACACGATAAATCCGGAAGCTGAATTCATATCGGTATCGACTTGTTTGGCCGACATTTATCGACGAGCTTATCGATATTTACATACGTCGCTATGAATACAAAAATAGGTGTATCAAAATAATGTGCAGTCAATAATATTTTGGCTTGAATGGAACGGACAAAAGAATTACATAAACAGGTTCAGAGGTTATACACTTAAACTGCTGTGATGAAAGTAAGACAAGAAGGTCACTTGGTATGAAATATGCAAGCATAGAGTAATAAATGACTAAGATATCGGTTGGAAATCATAATGACCGAAGGTTATTTCAATGTCGTACACAGAAACAATCAATGGAATATGTAAAGAGTTACTTAATCGAGAAAGGTCCTCCTTTTATGGAACCAAAACTCTTTTACTGTGTTCACAAGAGTATGCCACTGCTCCCTATCCTGAGCCAGATCAATCCAGCCCAATTGCTTTAAAATTAATATCATTTTTCCATCTACGCCTAGGTCACCGGAATTTGATCTCTCTCATAGGTTTTCCCGATCAGAATTCTGGCATGCATTTGTAACGACTCTCATGATCAGTTCATCTCCTCCGCCTTGATGTGATTACTGTTTCAATATTCAGTAAAGTACAGACCGTACAAATCGCCTATCACAGTGCCCGTTCAAAGACTGGGATCGTGTGTTCGAATACCACTTAAAGCATGGACGTCTCTGTCCATTTATTCTGTGTTTGTGCTCTCCTGCCTGTAACCAGTGGCCTTGCGACGGGCTGATTCCCCGTCCAAGGAGTTCTACCACTGTGTAAATAATTCAAGAAACTG